TCTATAACTTTTGTTTCGGTACTTTTTGTTGAAAGACGTATACTTTCCCTGATATTTGTAAAAATGTAAAAAATAACCGTGATTTCAGAGGTTTTTGGGCGCTAACTTTTTAAGGAAGCATTTTACGACCCATGTATAGGAAACTTTTTGTTCGGTATTTAAATTATCTTTTAAATGAGATTAAAATGATTGTAGTTCGCTCCATAGGTTTTGAAATAAACCAGTTTATAACCAATTTCAAATGTACCGAAAAGTGTTTTTTCGGCTATTGACGGTTATTCCAAAACCTATGGAACAAACTATTGGGTTGAACGGAAAGTTCGTTTCGTTTTTACTAAGAGATGAGGACCGGAAAAACGGCACGAATTTTCCGTTCAACCCAATATATAATTTGCTCTCTTCCAAGAAGATAGAAATATTAATTAACAGAATAAAAAATTCCTATTTCGCTTCAATTTTGTCTATTAATAATTTTATTTACATACAATGGTCTTTTATTTATTATCTTTTACAAGCTTATCCGCGCATCTTGCGATATCGATCTCAGAAAACAATTAAAATCACTGGTCTGAGGTTCTTTGAGAAAGAATATAATATATTCGTTCTCCTCTTTTGTCAACGTCCATCCTTGTTATGCTTTACGAGTCGGATTCACGGAGGTCACTCAGCAATTTTCTTCGATAATGATTGTCATTACTATATGTACATCCGGCTTGAGTATTTATCCCTTCCTTGAAATATCTTACACAGCGATAAGAATGTTTTCAAAAAATCAGTATCCGCCGTGTATTCGCGAACCAACGATGAAGATGCGAACGAGGACAATCCTCGCCGCTTGCTTCGCGATCGTGACGTTTAACAAATTCGGCACGGCGAGCGTAAAAGTTTCATCGAAGGTCGACTTGGATTCCGACGAAAATGAAGAGACATTGAGCAACGCGACCTTCGATACGGTCGCGAATCCGAATGAATCTGCTGATCCATTGGAATCAATTTCGCGTGCGTTTAAACCGTCGATAATTAGCTGGCATCACGGAAGCGAACTCGTAAAATCAAACGAACCAAGAAAAAGAAGAATTTATTTTTCGCAGGTGAGTAATAGATGTTATAAAAGAAATTATTTTGCAAATTACGAATTGATATTTAGTTTTACACAAGATAAGATTGTTTTATTTTATACTATCAATTAAAAAATCATATAAATGATTCATAATGTATAAAAAATGTACAATATATAATTGTTATCATAGAATATATATATTAAATTCATAAAATGAATAGATTTAATTATAATTAAGATTAGAATTTTGACGAATAAATGTTACGAATGGAATTTATGAGAAATTTGTAAGGATTATTAACAATATCATATTGATAGCCTCGTTTGTCGCAAAAACTATTTTATTTGCACGAAAATGGCGAGATTTATTATAGTGCTAATGACACAAACATAACAATCAATGTTGGATTACTGACTTAATGGACGAGTTCATAAACCTACTTGTTATGGATTTATAGAAAACTTCGCGTACGTTGTGTCATAAATTTTACATGCTTAAATCCATCATCTTTGTTCTAGGATTTTATCCAATAAGTATCAAGATGTTTATTGTTACCAAAACAGTTTGACGCAAGAGAAGTAGTTAAGCCATATTAAATTTACAAATAACAGATTAACGAATGAATCATCAAATAATTATGACAATAAACATTGTGTATTCTTATTTTAACATTTTTTTTGACATTTAAAACATTAAAACAAATTTCATGTCCTATTAAGGATTTTTACAGATATTTTATCAATAAATATGAAAATTATAATAATTATTTCATATTCAACAATTTTTATAACAAGAAAGAAAATTAACATCTATACAATATATCGACATTTGAAATTATTTCTGTCTTCTAAAAATTAAAATGTTTTATAGGATAATTCAACTAAACGACCACAGATTATCAATAACATTCAAATCGTTATAAACAGCAACGATAGCCTATCCAACAGAAGTTCTTGCAAAGATTCTGGTATATGTGACGTATCCGTTTCTTCGAAACCAGACGGGAAAGGAAATATTGTAACCGAAGTGCATCTTAGTATTACCACGAATACAAAACCGGATGCTAAAGTCGATGATGTTCCAGTAATCGACAGTTTTCGAGGTATTAGTGAGGATCACGAAGAAAAACCAATTTTTCATCCAATAAACTTGCCGAATCCATCATATTCACGTCGCGAAAATATTCCACAGGTAACGAAATTTGTTCCATTGTATAAAAGAGATATAAATGTCGTATTTTATAATAATTAATCCGGATAATAAAAGCTTCCTTTTGCAATATATTACAATGTAGAAAATGTACTTTTAGATTCACACTAATTATCAAGGATACGGCGAACCCTGGTATCACCATCGGCGAACTTTTCAACGACCGCGAACGTATTGGAGTTACCATCACTTTAAAGATGGTGGCAATGTAGCATTTCAAGGCCATAAAACGTGGCCGCGAGACAAACCCATAGTGGATGATAAGATTGAACCACCACTTAGCAGAACCAAATTCAGTGATGATACGGAATCATGAGATGATTTATTAAATTTGAAATTATTCTTTAATTATATAAATATTGTTGTATAAAAATGATATTGAATCACATGTAATTAAATTCGATTTCATTGCCATATAATAAAATAAGTAAAATCATTATATAAAAGCGTCATGAGTTTAATTTATACATATAATCAAAAAAATATAATATTAATTTATACATATAATCAAAAAATATAATATTTATATACCTCATTTAAGCGTGTAGACATAAATGCATATATAATCGTTAATTTGATTGCTCGATATTGCTCGAGTAAAACATAATTTAACATCAATATAAGAAAACTTATTAAAACTTTGAAATATTTATAACAAGTGAATTTTAAGTTAATTTCTTGCAAGCAGGTAGTCAAGATTAAGCTGTCAACGTAATTAATAATTACAAAAAGGTTTATAAAATTTTTCATAGAAAGGATCTATTAGTTTTCAGAAACTTGAGTATTTTTTGAGTATATGGTAATCTTAAGAAAATATTTGAGTCTGAATCCTAGATCGTGAATTAAGACTTTGAATCATAAAAATTTATCTCTATCATGGTATTGTATAGCAGACACAAAATAGACGATAGTAAAGTAATAGTTAAAAGTAAGATGTGTTGAAAATACAATCAAAAGCATAGTTAATCGTGCACCGTACGATAAGAAATCTTTCCGTTATCGTTCACGCCAGTGATAGACGACTTATGGTTGATTGGCTTGCCATCCGGACCGGTACCGCTGGAAGAACTGGAACTGGCGAACACTCCAAAACTATTACCAGATGGAGCGGGAAGATCATCAGCAAATCTGGACTCTATTCCTGGCCCAACCTACGAGAGATAGCCGATTAAAAAAAAATAATGATGATATTCTTCATGGAAATATTGCACCTTCTTTTACTGATTATATACATGAAATAAGATAAATTAAAATAATAGATAATTCGTGTGTGCTGTCATTTATCAAAATTGCTTAAGTACAGATTTCGTTCATAACTTATCAAGAGAAATGTAAGAGACTTACGGGATTGATAAAGCCTGTTTGGTAACCGCCACCTGGGCCTAAACCAATGCTAGCACTCGAAACTTGTGGTGCGCCACCACCATAACTTCCGCCACCGTAATTAGCGGCTTCGTTGGCCAAACGATTGTGGGCTTCCATGTTACTGTGCAACACAAATCCTCGTTTACATCATGCTTAAGAAATCTATGTCGATCGTGAGTCACGGTTCGTAAAAATATTCGAAAATCAAGCAACTGATTCGTGACACCGTATTTCCATAAAAGAATCACTTATCATCTCGCAGCATGTTTGTTACAACTTTTTCTTATAACTTAATTGCGAGATTTAAAAACCAACACGTTACTCAAATATATACATACAACATTACGTGATGTTTGGGAAATCCATGAAGTTTAATTGTAAATTTGATTACTTGTTACTAACACTTAAACTATTAAACGTCGGTTCACATTTTATATTGTTCATATTCGGTTGAACATAAGAATAATAGTAATTAAATGTGCTCAATGCAATCTCTTCGATTTGCACGATGCGTCATGGATTTACCTTGGATTTACATGAATTTTTTAATCAAAATTGTACGCAGGAAGAATTATCATCGAAAGCATCAGATATATATAATATGTAGACAATTTTATATTAATTAATTATTAATAAATCAGATATAATGCTTTTTATAACATAAAATAAAATCTCCCAAAATAAAAGAAAAAAGAGAAAAATTTATATCTTAAATTAGTTTGTTATATATATTACTTTTAGAAATACTTTCAGAATAACAATATTTATATCAAAAATAGTTTGAGATTAATTATATTTATTTAAAAAAATTTGAGGTTTAATCATGTAATAGATTTGTTAGACAATTTTTTTGATAAATGTTAAAAAAAACATTTATGTACGATAAATATAAATGATTTCATAAATAGATAAAGTAAATTAGAATTGAGAGAGAAAGAGAGACCGTTCAAAAAGAAAGGACTGCAGCAAATTTATATTACAGATAGACTTACGCTTGATGCTGTGCCTCGATCTGCGCCTGAATCCGCCTGATCATGTCAAATGTAGGATCATTGAAGGTAGGATATTGTCCAGGGAAAAAAAATCCAGGTCCTGCATTATACAAGGGATCTGCGAAAGACGAGACATACAATGAGGCTCGGATAACGATGCACACACGGCGTGAAAGTCATGCAACGTACATGCGATTATACTATAAATTATAAAATCTCATGTTTTGAATACCTAAGTATATATATATATACCTAAATAAATAAATAAATAAATAAACAAATTAATATATAAAACACATGCACACACATATAATTAAATAAATAAATAAATAAATATATAAATATACAAATGTAAAAAAGTACAAATAAATAAATAATTAAATGTCAAAAATTATTGTCACGCGACATCAGTCACTTCGTACAAAAGACAAAATTTTGTCTTCGACAAAGTATCTCTAAAGAAACGTCAGTACGATTTCATCCAAACAGATTCGAGATACGTATCTTCTCCACCGTTCCAATCTTTTATCCAAAAATTTCCAAACCACAGCATGCAACCCCGAAGAGAATTCATTCAATATTCTCCACAATCCTGAGTCCGTCTTCGCCCTTGGACTTTGGGGCTCATGCTCGTACCTATTCCGCCGTAATTTGGTGTGTTCTGGTTCGGCGACATATCCTGAAATCCTCCTCGATTATTGACAGGCGATGACTCAGTAGTCATAGGTTGTCCTCCCATTGGATATCCCGCTCTAGGAAACCCTGCTCCAGGATATCCAGCGCCAGGATACCCCGCTCCAGGATATCCCGGAAATCCTCCTGCAAAACTCCCGGCTGACGCGCCCGCGGACGCGTGTCCTGGTCCATTGTTCGTACCGGTCCACGCGTAGTTCGGGCCGGGACCTGGTATAGAGTTGAATCCGGGATAACCATTGTAGGGATCGAAACCTGGACCAAAGCCGCCAAAGCCGGCTCCGGGAACGCCTGGGCCATTGTACGGTCCAGGAGTTGGCGTCTTGTCGCTCTTGGACGATGATCCAGGTTTCTTAGCGGAGTCTTCGGGCTTGGATTCATCAAAATTCGAGCGCGATAGGACATCATTGTCTGTCGATTTCTTCGGCTTGGACGTTGATTTTGTGCTTTCTGAAGTTGTCGTGCTAGGTGTTGTAGGATTTGTGGTGGACGGAGTAGTAGCGGAAGTGGATGTCGGAGTAGTAGTAGGGGACGTCGCCTCCGTGGTAGTGGGTGTGGTGGTTGGACTAGTGGATGGGGTGGTCGTAGGCGACGTTGACGGTGTGGTGGATGATGGTGTAGTCGATGACAATGATGTGGTCGATGATGGTGTAGTTGTAGGATTTGTCGACGAGAGGGTCGTTGTAGTTGCTTGATTGGTGGTAGTCTCACCATTCGAATCACCGATTTCTCGCTTTGACCTGGGCATCCCGATGAAATTCACCGATGTTGGTCCGCCTAGTCGTCCATCTTCGATGGAAAACGAGAACAAAAGAGTAACTCTTTATCGATTGTTGCTACCGAGATAGCTTATATGGGATTGATGATTATCTCAGCTGCTAGTTGATATGTCGTTGATATGTTAGTCTCAACATGCGGGGCTACTTCTCGGAATTCCATCACCAGAAATCCGCGGAAACGTGCCAAAACTAATTACTAATCACAATTATGTAATCACAATTATGTAACGTGGATAGTAATGGAGCTCTAATTGCTCAAATATATAATTTGAATATTAAATAATATTTAACGCACACATATAACAGGTAATACATAACATTCAACAAGTGTTACTGATCACAATATGGCACACACACAAATAATATTTTTATATATACGTATATGTTATTCAAACATATAATTTCTAAATATCACATGATAGTTAACAATATATAACATATAATAGTTAACTTATATGATAATAGAACATTAACATATTTGGGGAATGATATTTAGGAATCACAAACATAGGAGATATACATAACAATCTAAAAATCTACGGAAGCGTAGAAATCAAATCTTAAATCGATTACATAGTTATAATACTAATCACCATTCTATCAAGTTGTAAGAAACTCGCCGATAAAATATGCAAAAAAATTTTGTTTATCGCTTAATTGTTTTTTTTTTTTACACTAAATCGTGGATAAAAATTTATGATATTACTAATTATGCGTATGTGTGATTAATCACGTGGTATTCTGTAACTGTTGAATCAGTCACGTTAATTTGATAAATCACGTACTTGCAACTTGCAACATTCCTTTTCTGATAACATATATTTATGTTAAAAATCACGTGCAGAAAGTAAATTAACTTCAACAATATGTGTCACCAATTATTACAATTAAATATAGATCCTAAAATGGCCTTAACTTACCTTTTCTTTATTTAACGATTTTATTACTAAAAGAAAATATAGAAATGTATATCACTAAACATATTATATTAAACATATATAAAAAATGCATATTTCTATTTTATATATATAAAATATTTGATCGATTTTTCTTGCATGTTTAGATATCAAAATGGATATATATATATTTTTTATTATTTAATTAATGTCGCATATATTTTTCAATATGATAGAGATGGTTATGTCATGCATGAGAGATTATGAAAAGGAAATAAGAAGAAAGTATCTCCCCGTGGGTCAAGGTAAAGAACGAAATGAGGTCACGGTCCGCTAACGTCAAATTATCTTCATTTGGCTAGTGGCCGTGTGCAGTTACGTATGTACGAGCGTGCTGTATTACGGGAAGCGCATAGTTGCATATGCGAACATCAATCTTGGTTAATCAATCGCGATTAATATCGCTCACGCCTTTAACAATCGAGGTGATTTAACGACGCGCAATGAATTCGCGACGTGAAAATTTATTGCGTTTCAAACAGCAAGTACATTTTCATGGAGAAACCGGTGCGGATGGTTTTGTCAGTTATAAAAATATACGATGAATGTGGAAGTATACAGATAGAAGGTATAAATAAATATTTAACAAAATTCCACAAGAATAAGATAATGTAATGTGGTTTAAATTTTACATTATTCTTTTTCAGTTAATAAAGAAATTACGTATAATTAATTTTAGAAAAGAGCGGAAGAAAATTAATGCAAAATTTTGCATCACATATAATACATTTGTACAAAAATTATCATAAAGTTTATTACAGACTATCACAAATTACTGAAGAAGGTTTATTTAGTAACTTGATGATGAATAACTCCGATATTTTTACGGAAAACAAAAATTTTTGATAAATCACAATCACGATCTTTTGTAGCGACAAAAATAACGTAAATAGGTAATTGTTGCACATTTTGTGCTATTAATTTTTCAAAGAATCTTTCCTAGGTAATTACATAGTTTCTCAATGTCCACATCCAAAAAGGAAATACAACATCAACATTCTGATTGTACTTTTCTTCATTGAGAGACATTGATTAAAAATCATGATATCATTTGTATATGAAGCGTATATATCGAATTCGTCGTGGAATTTTGCCGCGTTCGCTAATCTTGCAATTATCCTGAAATCCCCGCGTACCGTCAGCTATTTCTACTTAAACATACGACATTGTCATTATATAACTTATCGTGGATTTAATTTTTATATATGCAGCCAATATTTCCTTTCGGATTATGTATGTTTCTACTCAATTAACAATCACAGTATTGTAGAATTAACTCGGATTCATTTACATATTATGCCATATCCGCGATTGCAAAAAAATTATCCGATAAAAATGCGAAAGAAACAAATAAAAGCATTATCATGCAACAAACTTATGACTGTTTTTAGCCACAACATAGTATATGTATCTCTTGTTGATATACGACTCGTTCACGTTTAATATTCTATCCTATAAAGGTTAATAGACAGATGGATATTGTGAAGATGGCATTTCCAAAAAAAAAATAGGAGAAAAAGCTCGCCAAAATATACATGATTATTATATTAAAAGATTGTTATTTATTTTCACTTTTAATTATACATGCTGTATGTATGTTTTGTGTGTGTGAACGATTAATATTTAAATATACTTGATATGCTCAAACATTCATTATCACATTAATAAACAAATAGAAAATTATTAAATATGATACTAATAGTGAAAAAAAAAGAAATGGAGTCCTTCGACTGCTACTCACTTCCGTAAGCATAAGGATAACCGACGAAGGTCGCTTGGGCCTCCATAAAGGATCCTAGGACACCGACGAGAACAAGCAGCGCGTAGATTTTAGTATCCATCTTTCTGATCGATCGTCGAAGAAGGAACTCAACGCGAAAAGATCGGGAGACAATTATTATGTATGTTATTACTTGTTGTATTTATATCACCACCGTGCGCGTAAAGACCGAAATGATTCTGATGTTGTCGCAGTCCGCGGGAGAATGACTGACTCAGCTGGTAGCGCGATCATCTTATATAGCATTCGCTTGTATCGGCACTTCATTACCTCTTCTTTACGACAGTACGTTCGCGAAAACTCCGAAAGAAATTCTACGTCATGTGTTTTCGATAAGGATTGCGTGCGTAATCCATCCAGAATGAATTTCCAAAACTTTGGTGCATTTCTTGTAGCAAAATTTATATTTATGCACCCTACAACTTCTTTATTATATAATTTTGGTGAAATTTATGTTAATAATTTTTTAACATTAATTGAAAACTGTGAATTAAATTAATTAAATGATTATATAAATATTATTTGTGACTTTGATATTAGATTACATATTTATTAAATCATTGAATTCTTACGGTAATAAATAATGTTTTAAAGCTTAAGTTTAAGCTTTAGAAAATAAAATTTAAAAAAATTGTATATTTTATGACATCAATTACAAGAATTTACTTTCTTATTATTATTTTGGGCGAATTATATAACATTAACTCGTAATCGTGATGGCTATACTAATTTCTAAATTTTCAGAAAAAAACTTCGCTGTTCTTAAAAGATAAAAATATCTTCCTCGTCAAGATTTTAAATTATAAATATATTAAATAGAGGAAACCAGGGGAAACAGAATATCGATTATAGCAGTATTCATATTTTTTTTTCTTTCTGTGATTCTGCGTCCCAACGTTTCTGTCTTGTTTACTGTGTGAACTCGGCCTTTCCTTAATAGAATGGAATTGTTCAGACCTTGGCAATGATTTTGCTCCAAGTTGCTCTTATACAACACAATCCCAATTCTTGTTAAATTATTTTTATTTGGAGAAACTACATGATAGCAGTTCTCATGCCACACTATGATAACCCTGCGATAATATAGCGTAAATAAACGAACGCGGAAAGATTTTTCTCTTGATCATTGATATGCAATCAGGGTAGGAGTCACTTAGTAATAGAAATGATAAGACAAAATCATCACGGATTTTTTTTGTGCAAAGGGAAAAACCAGAAATGATAATTACACAGCTTTATTCACGCAAGCTCTTGGCGAGCACTTTCATCTATAAAAATCTATTTATCCTTTTCATTAATTTATAGAATTGCAACAAATGAGAATTTGTATTATCGTTATGTGTGTGTAGAATATTCCAAAATATATATTTCTTATGGAATATTTAATTAATAAAGAGAATGTATTTATCATTTTTCTGTAACTTACATTTTTATAATTTTATAATTTTTTAATAAATTTGTAAAATCCGTGTTGGTGATTTAATGAACAATGAAACAACGAGTGATTCGTCACGTAATACCGTAATAAATCATATCTCGAACTCTATTAATATTACGACATTGAAATAAATAATATGTTCTTTTCAATTTATCTTTTAGTATCTATAATTGAGAGGAGAAATACGTTAGAAATGCCTACTGTATAGATCTAGATAATAATGTATTGCTTCTTATAAGATCTCTAATGTTTTTTGAAATGCAATAATATTTCTCTTCCGTATCCTATCGCATTTTGTATAATGTGATTACAAGTTAATTTTAACTTTTTCTCTTAAATTAAATGCATATTTATCTTAATCGAATATCAGTTTCAATGGTCGATATTTCACCTAGTATTATCATTAATAGTGACAAACGTGCGCGTAATTGTTTATGAGTAATAATGGTCTGTCGCGCACGGAAAAATGATCGCGACCGGTTTCCACATCCTGGTAGGCTGTTGATCGATACAGGATAATTGCGATTACTCCGACATTCTATGGCCCCCTTAAAGCCGCGCGCTCGGGTCTCAAACGTGTATTTTCCAATCAATCGATCAGGCTAATCCTGCAAACGATTGATTATCGGGTAGCAGTTTCATTAAATTAGTACCTTCTTAGCTGCATTCACAGAATTTCTACAACGCAACCGTATCATTTAAACGAATTATGGTCAACGCGAATAAAATGTTTTAACGCGATGCGCCGTCTTTTGTGTCATTATTTGTTTAGTCACGACTCGACGTGACTCAAGCACGCGTGTTTTCTCAATAAATGATAAAAAATATTCCGTTCAGATGAAAAATGGTGCGACAGAAATGTTAGGGGAATCGACGTTAATGTCGCTCGACGTGTACAGCGACGAGCCGATGTGTTGTTCATGCTGCGAAAATTTGTATTTTTGTTTATACAGTTGTAGCGAGACGTATATTATCGCCCAGACGAATTTAAGCAATG